ACTGAAAAATTAATTTTAAGATTATTAAAGAAGAGTAAAACCACATTCTAAAAGGCAATTTATTATTGAAAAATTTGAAGCCTTTTAAAGAAAATGTTTGCTAAGTGTTACTGTAAATGCGAAATTTGAAGCTCTTTTTCACAGAAAACTATTGACTTTTCGAACAACTTCATTTAAAGTCATTTAATGCACTTCCAGTCACAAAGCAATAATGTATACAATTTGCTGGAAATGTGCATTTTTCCGGTGTGAGAGATTTTTCAAAAAAATTACAATTCAGACTTTTTGAAAAAACAGAAGAATACATCAACTCTATGTCATTATAAATAGTGCAATTAGTACTACCCATTGGTAAAGTTTGAAGAAAACTTTTTGGGCAAATTTTGAGAAAATTGAACGTTTCTGTAAATGAATTTTGAGCTCATTTTAACAGAAAACTGTTGTTTTCGAGAAACTTTACATGACATTATTTAAGCATGTGTACTTATAAATACAATAATATGAACAAATTGCTGCTAATGTATATATTAATGTGAGAGACAAGTAAAAAAATTAAATTTTTGTAGTTTTTAAAAACAAAAGAATAGAGCAATATGGCATTTATGCATCTGATAAATTGCATTTAGCACTGTACCTACAAAAAGTTTAAATGAAACATTTGGAGCTGTTTTTGAAATTCTTAAAAATTGCAAATATTACTCACAATATTGTGCAAAAACTACCAAAAGTTTAAAAGAAATGTACATGACCATAAAGAAAGAACTAATTATATACAACAAATTTCATTTGAGGAAGAATCTCATCTTCAATTTTGATGTTGTAGGAAGACTCGGAAAAAAATTCAAACTTTTGCAATTATTGAAAATCCAGAGTTAAAACAGTGAAAATTGGACCTATGCCACCTTTTACTCTATTCTTACAAGACATTTAGAAACAAATTTGGAGCAAATGTAGAAAATGTAACAGGAGCTTCATGCAAAGTACTCCCAAACTTTTAAAGATAATTTTTCAAAATCTCAAAGCTTCGACTGAAGCCAGATCAACAGGGGATTTATCCAATTTGGAATAAATTCCTATGTACAGTTTGGGTGCTAGTAGTATTCACAGATGGAAATTTGCCATCAATTGGTTCTTCGGTATCAAGGACCTACAAAATAGGCATTCTGGCTATACAATGTTTTAGAGGATTTCCTTCTTTATTTAGGAACTGGACTTGACCTCTTTTTCATTATTGGAGCCCAGCAATGAATCTTTTTGTGCTGAAAAGTCAGCATTTTCTCTCACAACATAACGTAAAATTCTCTATTCTACATATATTACTTTGTATATAAGGACAAATACAAGTAAAAATGTGTCAGAATTATGTGAAAACTACAATTTTTAAAAAAGTATACTTGATATTATTTACATATCTAACTTTGAAAAACAAATTTCAATAGGAAACAAACATTTCTACCTTCAACAATATAATAACAAGAGGGGCTGAAAAATTTAATCTTTAGCAATTTTGGAAATTTCACAGATTTTACTGAAAATTAGACCTACAGTATTTTTATTCAAGCACTTTGCTCTATTTAAGCAAATAAGTTAAAGAAAATATGGGGTCATTTTGGAAAATATTTTGAATGTTTCACAGAAACTTCATGAAAAGTACTCACAAAAATTAAAAACTACATTATCAGAGACTCATTTGCTTTAGGTCAGCGCCCAGAAATGCATACAGAAGTAATAAGCTATAAAATTCTTTTGGTTAAGAGCCTATAGTAGTAGGCGTGCTTCGCTATTCAAGCTCTTCAGTACAGAAACGGCGACGGGCCACGCATATCGTCTGACTGAACACGTACAGATGTAAGACAATAATCTGAGTCAGCTAATGAGACGCTGGTATATTCTTAAAATATAGAAGATGATGAATAGGATTTCTCTTTTTGCACCACAATTACCTTTTTTGATTATACCACAACGAACTGGATTTAAGTTAATGGGCAAAGTTAAAAAACCCAAGAGCCAGAGTTTACATTAAAATAAAAATGACCTTTCTCCTCTCAAATTAACAAAAATTAAATTACATGTGCTCATCACATAAAATAAATCATGAAGTCCTTAACTGTTATTAAAATTGTTATATTAAGATTTAATATATTAATAAAGTGTATATAAAAGTTTGATATATTAACTTGACACCACTGAAATTTTAACAGTTAGATACAATAATAATGACATAAATTGAACATAACAATAACAATAACTGAAAATATTACCAAAGCAATATGACTATTATTCCACGTATTATTATCCACTAGTGTAGTCCTGTTGGCCATTCCAGCTATCTGATATCCATAATCCCACCAACTCATTACTCTTGCATCACTGGCTGTATTTTGAGATAACCAATAGTAAGCTTCACGGAAATCATCTAATATTTGACGAGTCCTAAAAGCAAGAAAAAAATTGAATTTTTCATGCTTCTTGAGCAGCATCAGCAAAAACTGCAAGGCAGTTAGAGCCCAAAGAAATAAGAACACATCCATCCTGGAATCACTTACCCATCCTGACTATATGTTGCTAAGACAATACTTGGGCTTGAATATGCATTGCTAGTAATCCAGGTACAGTGCACTGCAAACATCATGAGCATCATCAAAACAGCAACAATGACAATGCTGCGAATGTTGACGCCCAGGCCATCTGCCTCTTTCTGCTGCTCATGCTTCATCTTCCGTAACTTTCCAGCCTGGAACAAATTATTTTAACTCACAAAGGGAAGAGAAAATGCTCTATCTTCAGAAGTATTTCAACAAATGAGATTTTTGAACATGTAATTCTTTAAAAATTGATTACATGAAAATCTTCTGTACCTGGGTATCTATTTACCAAAGATGTAATTATTTAAAAATCAATTACATGAAAATCTTTTGTATCTGAGTATCTATTTACCAACTGAAATAAAGGCTCATTCAGAATGATACTTAAATGTACACATAACATGAAAATATATGCTTGATGTCATGATATTCAATAGATCCATTCAGATTAAAAGTCGCACTTGAACTTTATTGTACTTTAACACATTCAATCCTGAACACCTATGTGTTACAGTATGTCTTTAACTCCAGTGTCCTGAACAATATGTCTATTATTCAAAACAATGTAAAAAAATAACTTCTGTATACATCATTTTCAAACTGATAACCTCTTGTAGGCTATCTTTCCTCCAAGTGTATATGTATTTTATTATCATTTGATTATAAAAGAGAAATGAGAACTGAATTCAAAATCATTTCTATTTTTATTTTTCTGGAAAGAAACAATGTCACAAAATAAGGAGGGAAACACAGTGAACTTCATCCAAATACTAGTGAACTATAATTAGCGTCATCTGGGGTGCAATCGGACGGTTTTCGAGAATTTTTTCATATTCTTCTTCTGCCAGGGATGCTTTTGGTTTTTAAATATGTATCACGGAGGAAATGTGTTAGGATTGGAATTTACATTAAGAACGAACAGTTTGTAAGCATCTTTTGTGAGGTTGATGAATGTGAGGTGATTTTGGACAGTCGTTATATTTTAATATGCAACCGAGATTTTTTATCATGAGGTGAAATCAAAGAGTAGCTTAATCCTCTTGGCATCTCTCAAGCCTATAATATTCTGCAAGTTGTGAAACAGTTTTGAAGCAGTATGACAAAACTTCTCAAAATTGTTGGTGAGAGTATTTAAGTGTTTTCAACATCAATTACTTTGGGTCTTTAGTCCATAGAGTTTGGTGCCTGTTACAGCCAGGAGATACAGATGATCATTCTCTGCTCTAACACTAGATCTTGCCATTGACCTTCATGTAAGATACTCTTGGTGCATTCTCCTGGTTTGATTGGCTAAACCATGGAAGTTACCCATCTCAGCAGCTGGCTGCTAAAATTCTCCTTCAGACAGCACTTAAACTCAACCCAGCTTTACAGCTAGTGGCAAAACTCTTCCACTGTTGAGACTGAGAATCTCCTGGTCAGAGATTCTATACCAGCAATGGATGTTGTTGCTGAGCCACCTCAGTCGAGGACACTAATTGCCAGTACCGCTAATTTCTTTAAATTTATTGTCAGTGGTAGCAGCAAAAAGCTTTGAACACATATTGGTACATTATATAAATTTTTGCTGAAAAACATTGTACCACTAATATCATTTGTTGGTATGTGGTTATCAAGTTATGCTTAAATGAGACAATAGTTTCCACTTCCAATGCAATTTGGGAAGAACATTACTGGCATTGATACATGAATTGGTGATAAAGTACCATCATTGTCTGGTTTTCGTTCTTTCAACAAGTTTGTGGTGTCTTTCATAAAATTCTAAAACATGCTAGAACCAATATTTAGCAGACTCAGAGGTCGACAGAAGAAAATAAATGTTCCTCCAGAGAATCTGTATTAGAACAAGATATGAAGGGAAAGGGAGCTTGTGAAGAAAGTGAAATAACTGTTTCAAAAGAAAAGAAAAATAAGGCTTCAACTATCTCAGAAGAACAATCAGAATGTGTATTGATGGTAGAGTCATTTGTGCTTGAGTTACAGTTTTATTAAAGAAGAAAAATTTGAACTGGCAATTTATGTTGGTGTTGTTGACAGATATAGGGCTTAAGATGTAGAATTGTTTCTTTGCCCAAATGGTAACAGTTTCTGTTAATGTTGACGATGAATAATTTTAATGTCGATGATGAAGAAAGAGTTCCTAAAGAATCACATTGTAAAAATTGTTAAATATCCACAAGAAGAAAAGGGGAAGTTGACCCCGTCAGCCCGAGAAAGCACGTACTTGTTTTTTTGTTTGTGGGTATAGGATGCTCCTTAATTGTTTTCACTTTAGCTTTACTGGCCGCAAAATCCCACTACCAACCATGTCCAGGTATTGCACATTCTTCCGTCGCATATTTACATTTGCTCGGCTGCACATGCAACTTCGCTTTCTCTAATATTAGAAACACCTGCTCCAAATGTTTAAGGTGTTCTTGCCATGTGTCACTATAGATGCGATGTCATCTAGTATGGACTGCAAATTCTGCACATCCGCTAGCAAAGCTGCTATCATCCTACTACACTAGGTAAGACGCATTTTTAAGCCCGAAAGGCAATCTTAATGGCCTATACGTGCCAAAGCTCGTACAGAACGCCGCATATCTCTGCGCTCTTGGTGAGCGGTATCTGGTGATAAAATTTTGCCAATCCAACGTAGTGATAATCTTAGCTGCCGCCACAGATTCTATCCTCTCCTCCATGTTTGCAGAGGAAAATACTCCGATTTTAATAAATTGGTTAAGCTTCCGATAGTCGATGCACGGACGCGGTTTCGACCCGGTGCCTCTACAAGAATCATTGGCGAAGCATAATCAGTCACCTATCTCAATTATGTTATCTCGTAACGTTTTCGCGATTTCTTCCATTTTTGATTGACGGGGCGACATTCGATAAGGCGCACTTCGTACCTTTTTCGATTCGTCGTCAATTCGATGTCCATGGTGACAACATCCGTCAACCCTGGCCTATTTGAAAATATATGCTTGTATTTTATAATTAATTTGAGCAATTTAATACGGAACTCGTCCTCAACTTCGTCCCTTCAAGCATAGCTTCCGCATCGAAGTCGTCACTGTCAATGTTAACGGCGTATTTATCCAGCTCGTCTTCCTCGATCCAAAGTTGGAGCTACGATCGGCTACATATTTAGATATTCTGTCCGCTGCACGTACGCTTTCAGCATGTTAATGTGGTAGATACGCCCTTCTTTTTTCCGAGGCATCAGAACAGAGTAGTTCGTGTCCGATTTTTTTTCCACTTCTCCCGGCCCTATCCATTGTACTGATAACTTCTTTGTGCGATTCGGAGCCAACACGAGCACCCGTCGCCCGGCGCGAATTCTCTGTGTACAGCTCGTCGATCGTACCAAGTTTTTCTCTTTCCCTGCTCGTGAACAAGCTTTTCGTGTGCTAATTCGCGACATTTTTGTAGTCTATTTATTAGCCTAAACACATATTCGACGACAGAATTTTCTTCATCCTCGCCCGTAATTTGTTCGTATAATAAAGTTATGGGTGTTCTGAGATTCCTCCACATAAACTAATTCAGCTGGGGTGAAACCGAGGCTCTCGTGCACCGTGTTCTCATGCAAATAGAATCGCTGGCACTTGATCCTCCCACTCCGTCCCTGCTTCTAACATAACACTTTAATTAATCTATTCATCGTCCTATGCAGGCTTCGATAGGATTAGATTGCGGGTGGTAGGCGAACTTCTTACTAGTTTGATCCCAAACTTCCTAGCAAATTCCCCTGTTAGAGTGCTTGTAAAGCACGTGCCCTGGTCCGTTGTAATTCCTTAGGGAATCCAATGCGACCTGAATAATTTTAACAAAGCACTGATGATAGTTGTCGATTGTAAGTCTGTAATTGGAATAGCCTCCGGATATGGACGCTAAACAAATGGCTGTCAAAATGAATTTGTTGCCTCTCGACTTTCGGGAAGAGGTCACAACGTATCGATATTGATTTTTGCCAAAGACTTCCGTTATCGGCGGTACTAAAAACTAACGGTGCCTTTTGCGATCATTTGGCCTGCCTACCTTTTGGCACACATCGCAAGATTTCACATAAATCTCAAATCCTGGAAACAACGAGGCCAATAAAAATATCGCGACATACTGGCTTTGCTTTCAGTGCACCCTAAGTGGCATTCGCGGTTTCATGGCACACTTTCAGAATGGCTGCCCGATATTTATTGGGAACCACTAACATATTAAATTTTCACATTTTAAAATCGGTTTTCTTACCGCCTGATTTCCCCTGAATTTCAAGTGCTTTTGACATCGCTTGCTTGCGCTCGCTACATGTTCGCTGCGGCTTCCGGTTTCCTGTACTGTTTAAATGTGGACCGTTTCCAGCCTGCCCTATTATTTTCATAATTATCTAGCTTACGAGTAATTCCAGAGGTACCTTAAATTCCCCCACTCATCAATAAAATGCTCTTGATTTCGATAGGCAATCGGCGTTTCAGTTGTTCGTTACAATTAAATTCATTAACTCTTCTAAACGTATGATGTCTAATCCAGCTACCATCTTTCATAATTTTGCAACTCCCTCGCGTATAAATTCCAGGTAACATTTGGCGCTTTTACATGTTTCGTGAACAATTGTCGAAACTTCTCGCATTGAATCTATACATTTCCAATAGCCTATACTTTAATTCGCATATTCTATCCTCCTACCTTGCCTTCTAAGTAAGCGACGCATTTATCTGATGCGGAGCAGTCCCATAAGATTGCCATAAAAAAAAAACAAAACAAATTTAATGAGCGG